AGTTATGTCAACTTTACATTCACTGCTTTCAGGGAAAAAGTGTTTAATTATTTTTAAGTCTTCTTTCAGACCAACATACTAGTTACAAACAGGAAGCAGAGCCAGTCTCATGTGACTGTTCATAAAAATCTCGTTCTGCAGAAACAGCAGAGACCTTTCTGTTCAAACCCCAAATTGTAAAACTTCAAATCATGGGTGTATTCACTGGTTGCTGAAGACAGTCAGATAAGCTTCAAGATAAGTGGGGGGAGAGAGAGAGAGAGAGAGAGAGAGAGAGAGAGAGGGGGAGAGAGGGGGGGGGGGGGGCGAGAGGGAGAGAAATTGTAAAGTTACATTACTGCCATCTAGCGGTCCACCTGAAGCAGACAGTCTCGGGTTCCATAATCTCATTAAGTAATTTCCCTCTCAAGTTTTGTATTTCATTTAATTACATATGGAATTTCTTGCTCTGGTGTTGCTATCTATCAAACATAATCACATCCAGATTTTATGCATTTCTGCTGAAATTTTATGTGATGTTAGGTCCAGTTTTAATCCCTTAATTTGAGAAAGTAAATAATATTGCCAGGACGCTGCAGAAAGAAGCAAAGCAAATCTAAACATATTGAAAAATATGTTCATGGGAAGGCAAAGAGGTTGAAAAGGGGTAACCTGGAGAAGTTTAAGTGAAAATTCATCCCTTTAAGGATGTTTAGTAACAAACCTAGCTCATAATCCTCCAGCACATTAGGTCTCACTCATATGTTCAAGTTTTGAAAAATTTTAACCATCAGATAAGCCCATCTATTGCTCTCAAGGAATGCTGGTAAGTTCCTTGTTACATGACCAGTGTTTTTGCACTTAAAAGCAGCACTGAGTAACCTGAGTAACTGCAGCTCCCAGTGTGGCTAGTCTGCTTCTCGCCTTCACAGCTCTGCCTTAATTCTTCTTGTACTTTCTAAATGCTACATTTTGCAATAGTGCAAACAGCATCCCCACTTCCTCAAGGAAAAACTATTAGTAATACAGAGGCATCACAAAATCACTTCCACAAGAGAAGAAAGTTTTAATGAAAAATTCTGTCCTCTTCTTTCACTTGTTTTCCCTCTTTACTTCACATAGACTCTTATCCCACTAGAACAGATTGCAGCAGGACTCAGAACAGGTCCTAATACCTGTCACATCACATATAGAGTTCTTGCCCAGGCATAAATATCTCAACTTTCTTCACTTGAATGTGTAAAATTATTAAGTCTTGATTTAACATATTTGCCATCTAGCCTTCCCCGTCCAACTCCTTTTCTCACAGAAGAAAATCACAGTGCATCTAAAGCCACACTACCCTTTGGAATGAATTTGTCCCTGTTAGCTAATAGATACCAGTAATAGGATTCTCCAATTTTTCAAATTTCAAGGTACCCAGATTTCCTTCATTTGGCAGGACCAGCAGTAATGTCAGCTGCCATGCACTCTCATTCTTTCTGGTGTACAAACATTGTGGTACCTGTGCTCTTGTAGCTGCACATAGCTGAAATGCAAGTCACTTTTGAGATCCCTTTTAATATATCACTATAATATAAGAAAAATAGGAGGGGTTTTTTTTTTACTGTTTTGGAGAGGTACAAAGCAAATATAGAACAGCCTGCTTTCTCCAAAGATCTGAAAGGATCCCTGGAGAGTCTTCTAAAATAAACTTACCCTTAACTGGGAAGAATGATTCAGTGTACTGTGGAGTGCAAAGAACTGGAGCATAGTCTGTTTCTTAAGTGCCAGCTGGCTGGCTTCAATTTGCAAAGCAATGCAGTTTAGAGAATAATTATTATTCTCTAAAATATGAATGCAATACTTAATGTAATGCTTGCAAGCAACTGTAGAATGGTGCAAAACTGTATCAACAATGCAGTTAACAGCATGAGCAAGACCGTATTCACCATATTCTTTCTTGGCTTGACTTTCTTCTCTGTGAAATACAGTATTAAAATGTACCTTTTTTGGTCTTATTATCTAGATTGCCATTAAGTAGTCCAGGTGCCTTTCATGTCTCCCACTCTTCCCCATGGGGCTCTGTAGTTACAATATGTTTGGGTATGCTTGTAATTTATGCAGTATAGAGATGTTCTGTACATCTTTTTATAGACAGAATATGAATGAAAGACGGTCTATGACTGCATATAGCTGGGTTTGGAGACCTAGACTCTACTGTATGTTGATTATAAGAGGATAAAACATCACTGTAATGCTGAAGGGTTAATACCATATTGAGAAAGAGGGACTCCACATCTTTAATCCTTCACAGAACTTAGCAGCTAGATCCTATTTTTTCTTGCTGAAAAAAGGGAAATGGCTTTCCAAAATAGTTTGTTCACTTTCATCTTTACAAGATATTCTGCTTTTACATCAGCTTTGCATTTATTGATGTAAATGGTAATATACAGTGCAAGGCAAGACTGAGTTGGGCTTTGTGGATGTACGGATTGCCTTA